TGAATTACCTTTACCTTCGGCTATGTGGCTACGGAAGGTACGTCATGAACAGTTTGACCGTGTTGATGTCGAATCTGTGTATATTTCCCTCGGCATAGGAGAAATGTTATAATACTTTGATAACATTATTTTAATTTTACTTTCCTGACAGGACTACGAGACGTGTGTGCTAACTGGAGACAGAGAATGTCAATACAAGGAAGGAGATGAAAGACCTGATTTCGCCCAACTCACAGAATTTTTTTGCGGACAAGACAAAAAGTGCACGTAGGTGTATCCCATGTTTTTTCTCACACTGGCCACTCACAAAAGGCAGTTGAAGCACTGGTTGTCTCAACTGTAGCATTATGAGTGCTTCAGTGGACAATGAAAACCTATGAAATTTTCCACTCTGGGTTTGGATGCAATTTATCTAAATGTTGTAGTAGTAAATTGTAGTGAATATTACCAGAGGTTTCAGTTTATTCTCTGGGTGTCATAACTATTATATGTTGATATTATTTCTGTTATACTTTTAGTGATGTTTCATGAGGTTCTTTTTTAATACATCTTATTTCATATTTTCTCTGCCAAGTGGGTTCAACACGGAATATGCACTGCAGAAGGCAAAGGAAAACGTAGAGAGGCATTACTCTGTTGTTGGCGTTCTGGAGGACCTCAACACTACCTTGACAGTCCTGGAACATTATGTCCCCAGATTCTTCAGGGGAGCCAAAGATCTATACTGGAGTGAGTGTTTTCATAAATTCAGGTATCTGCATGGTATTATAAGTAGAGAATTTTTTCATTGCCATTGTCAATTCATATGGTAATTACAAATCATTAACACTAAATTTCTTCCCAAAGATGAGGTGCAGAGATTCTCCAAAGTAAACCGTAATATCTACAAACCACCCGTTCCTGACAGAATAAAGGATATTGTGCGGAAGAACTTCACAAGAGAAATAGAATTCTATGAGTTCTGCAAACGTCGAATGTATATGCAATATGCTGCACTAAATCTTCCTGAGACACCATAAAAGACCGATGTTCCTTTAGAAAAATTATATATGGAAAAGCCAGTTTGTTTCTCTTTTGTAGCAGCAAGAATATATTTATATGGCTTGGTTTCTTCTAGCTCAATTACTATATTTCACAAATCCATTATTGCCAGATTTTCATGGCTTTGGATTAACATGTAAAAGATGATATAAATCATTTGCCCAAAAAGCATCATTCTGTTAATCCCACAGCAGAATGAATAGACTCTGGGATGCAATTCTTTGTGGCCAGTTAAATAATAGGAACAGATTGGTGTGTACAATATATCATGTTGCAAGTGGAGCCAATCATTTCAACAGAAATATATATTGGTCTATAGAGAGTTTATTCCTATTGGTTATAGATAACCTTGGGTTTAAGGCTTTTTTTTATAGCCCTTCCAACTGAAACTGTAAAGTTTATATTCCTTGTATCCTTATTCTTGGTGCTTATGTGATATTCTTATTTTTATACTCTTGATCATTGACTCGTTTCCTTATCTCAGGTTTACTTCAGGTTTTTTCTCACCTCTGCATCATTATTCATAAACTGGTTTATTAATAAAGAATTTTAGGATATATTTCCAGGTTGTTAAAAGAACATTCACTAAATATAAGAGCAGCTGTATGTTATGCAAAAACTACTACAGTGGAGACCATTTTTCTATAATCATCAAATGCATGAAAGTTAATTTTTAAAATAATTCTCCCCTGTCCAATGAGATTTTAAATTTATTATCAATAAGAATCCACTAAAATTTGGATATACTTTTGTTAATAAAATCAGTGATGTGACTTAAATAAGACTCATGAGGTTGTGATAAAGACTATTACCCCATCACTGGCTTTTTTCTAGTCGTGGAGGCTGTCAGTTCCTCTTTAGTTCTTCTTAAGAGCCTATTCTCAAAGCTTACTTATATAAATGTATTTCAGAACTTCAAAAGGAGTAGTGATTGATTCTTATAAAAAACACTTACCTTGTGAAGCTACATTTTTAAAGAATAAACCAGAATACTATAAACTATTCACTAATTGGGCCTGTATTCCTGTCTGAAGTGATGTTAAGGTGCAGTTTATTCAGTAGCACACTGCCTGACTGCATAATGAATAAACCTACACATATACTCTATTTACAAATATATATTTAATAACCAGGCAGAAAATAAGTTACAGATTCTCAGTGTAAATATTGATTTGGAGACTGTAGTAGAATAGCACCACAGACTGTAGAACACTGGACACAATGGCAAACCTCAGTTCCAGCACACTTTTACCTTAATAGCACCGGGATTGAAAACTTCCATGTCCTACCTTCTATTTGCCTTTTTCAACTGGATGCTAAGGGCATATACCCTTATCACTTCTTAATAATATAGCCAATTATATCATTGCCATATCATCATTTTTTGTTAATGTCCATGTTCATTGTGTATTGCTTTCTTGACCCATGTTGTTAATTTATGTTACAATAAATTTATATGATAAAATAATTCATTTTCCATAAGAGTTGAAATCCTTTATACTATTAAAAAAGGTTACTTTTTTATTAAGTTTCTCCATATTTTATACAATAAGATACACATAGCAATTATGAGTAGTTTTCTGATCATTTATAGAAAAAAAAATCACATAACTAATTTTACTTTAAATAATTACAAAAAACTTTTTTATTCTTGTAGTTCTTGAACATGACCAAAACAGTTTGTGTAAATGAAAACAGAACTAATAAGGAAGCAATGCAGCTCATCTGCAATCACAGGTGTGACAAGTGTAAGTAAACAATGAGCTGAAAAAAATCATCTACACACTATCTTGAAATATTCACCACAAATCATATACTAGTATTGCTGATAATAATGAAACAGAACATTTTCTTAGCATTATAATTATTTTTCCAAGTTCAAAAGCACATAATTTCATACTATAAAAGACTAGTTGTACATCAAAACATAGCTCTCCTATACGGTGCTTCCAGCTGTAAAGGTATATAGTAGAAACACAAAATTAACAACAATTTTATTAGTAATAAGTAGCCGGGATGATGGTATAATAGAAATTTCTATGGAATATATGCTTTATCTTCATAACTAAAATCATACATAAAAACACACAAACATCTTGCATTCATACAATACACCATAGGTATTATGCCAGAATTTTCTGCTGATATCGGGCAGAAAAGACACAAATATAATTTATTTACTTTTCATAAAAAAATAATAAATCTTTCATTCATTTTAAGTATCACTAAAATGCTATAATATATATCAGGAGATCTGAATTAAAACTGGTTTTAAAAAGATAAAAGAAAAGAATCTAAATGCTATTACTATAATAAATATAAGATAAAGCAATATAAAATAGTTACCAGATCAATAAAATATATAAACAATATATCACTTTTGCCTTGTGTCAATACAAAAAAATACACAACTACAACAATTTCTCTCAAAATACATCAATTGATGTATACTGAACAGACAGCAACATTGAACTGTAAACAACTTATACATTCCATATTCCATATTCAAATGTAAAAACCAGATATATTATAACCTGTAATAAACATATTGCAGCAAAATGTATCATTCTGATTTTCTATCAAATATATAAAATTGCTGAACCTGCTGATAAATAAGCAAATATGTATATAATTTTGCAATAAAAAAAGTGACTTAAACACATTCATTTGAGTCAGCACTATTACTCTTCGGAACACAATTCCAAAAAAATATAATGAGATTCACATGTAATAATACACAAAAATACTTTCCCAAGTTATATATCAAAAGAAGCAGAACTTTACCTCTTCTCTTTCCCAAAACCTTAATAAGATATTCAAAGTCCCTGTGAGGAATTAAATGATTGATCATATAAAAAGCAAGTGCTTTGGAGTGTAAAATATACTAATTTGCTAATGTTTTTTACAGGGAAAAGATTCATTATATAAGAGTTGGGGTGCTTCAGGAGAACTGTACACACATTCACCTGCAATGAAAGTGTTCAATACTTTCAGTGGGCCTTTATCTGACACAAGTAGAAAGTCAGCATCAGTGTTGTAGTCCAGAGTGCCTTTCTGATGTGTTATACCCATGAGTTGTGCAGGGTGTAAGGTTGCTGCCTCAATGCCTTCTACAACACTCACACCTAGAATAAAAAATATAGTGCTTTTCTAAAGACAGCCTATATCACACCCAAAATAAGGTGGAATGTATGATTCTTATTCAGATCAATTAAACATTTTAAAGTAATTTGACTTGTCCATCAAACTCCAGTTTCTATAAAATGTAATTTTGAAAATCATTTTAAAATAGTATCAGCATTGAAAAATCAGTACAATATCTTGCCTTATAATCAATATAATACACCATTAATTTAATCACACCAGGTTATATTAATATGGAAATCAGAGACTACTTATATTGTTTTGATTTTCTTGTGATATACCCAAAGCAAGTTGTGTGCCTCTTCATCAAGTAAACATTTACATACATACCTGCATCATTAATGAAAACTCTGACACACTCATCCATTGTGGCCACAGAACCTGCTAGAGTGTTTGTGCCAGCCAGTACAGCACGTCTACCTTGCACCTTCACCATCATTTGACCTATGTGGTGCTCTCCATCTTCAAGACCCATAGCTGCCATACCATCTGACACTAGTACAAGGCCTGTAAATTTGGATTAAAATATCAATATATTATTATCCCTTGATACAAAAATGAAATCATCACATTGAAAATGAAATTATCATGGACATAAACAATGTGCCAAATTAGGAGACTTTGCAAGCATCAATTTCCAATAAACACAATAAACATCTAGAGGTAACACAAACAATAAGGCTTTACAATTAATCTTCACCTTGAAGGAAACAATATTCATTAGAATTACACTTACAGTATAACAATCATCTACCTAACCATACTGAACTATCCATATAGAGTATATGTTTACATGTATATGTATATATGTAAATATGTATACATGTAAGTATGTATGTAAGAATATATGAATGTATATATGTACATATATAAGTATGTACATATGTACACATGTGTGTGTGTGTGTGTGTGTGTGTGTGTGTGTGTGTGTGTGTGTGTGTGTGTGTGTGTGTGTGTGTGTGTGTGTGTGTGTGTGTGTGTGTGTGTGTATGTGTGTGTGTGTGTGTATGTGTGTGTGTGTGTGTGTGTGTGTGTGTGTGTGTGTGTGTGTCTATATATATATATATATATATATATATATATATATATATATATATATATATATATATATATATATATATATATTATATATATATATATATATATATATATATATATATATATATATATATATATATATATATATATATATATATATATATATATGTTACCTTTAGCATGAGTTCTGTGGGCAATACGAAGAGCAGCAGGATGAGTGTGGATTCCATCAGCTATGATACCATAGAAGACAGGCCGGTTAATTTTTCTACTTGTTAGCAAACCAACAAGTCCAGGATCACGATGATGGAACTATTGAAATAAATGTTTTTTTTTACTTTTCAGACAATAATATGACAATCATATAAATTATTCTCATTCATGAATTAACATTGCTCTCAAAATCTATGATTTGCAAGTATTACTATACATAAGTTTGATATTAGATTTGTTTTGTATTTGAAAAGAGAGGCTGGAGAGATTACATTGTCACTGTGTCAGATATACAGTGAGAAAATTGTAGGAAGTCTACCACTTTTTATTAATTGAAAGTAAAACATATACAGTAAAAAAAAAAAAAAATATGTAGAATAAAACACAGGATTAAACATATACAGTAAGTCCCCAACCGAGAGGCTGTTTGTAAGTCAATTTGTTTGTATGTCGAAAGTCAGGTCTCCATTACCTTTTTTCCCATTGTTTTAAAGTTTTGTTTACATTAAGAATACCTGTAAATAAATCCCAATAAGTACAACATACCATATAGCATCTTTCAAATAATTTTTTGGACTTTAGTATTTAAAAAATTTTGTTTGTATGTATGGAATGTTCATAAGTAGAATGTTCTTAAGTAGGGGACTATCTGTATTTAAAAAATTTGTAAACACAAACCACTGTAAAAAGCTTTCTCACTTAAAATTCCAAACATTTATATTTGTAACTTACAGGCAGCATGGCATTGAATAGATGAGTGATAAAAGAAGCACCACTGTTTACTGCAGCCTCACCATCTTCGAGGTTGCCATTAGAATGACCTGTTTGACACCAAGGCATCAGGAATAAAACATATTTTGGCAATATTCTCTCTTCAGGAAAGACTTCTCAGCATACTTTAAAATATGGATGATGCAGCAGAATAATACCAGTTCTATCAATTTCCATATGACACAAAACTGTTATTTCATGATCTTTTACATTGAAAACTGGTGCATCACATCTAACACTGTAGAATGACTTACCTACACTCACAACAATACCCCGTTCAGAGAGTTCACCTATGACTTCCTTGGCTCCTGTAAGCTCTGGGGCTATGGTAACCACAGCAGTGTTATCTAGTCGTCCGTAAGTTGACTCTAACTTACTAAAACCCTGCAGGGGGCAGTTTCACTTTTAATTGATGAATATTAAGACTATATCATATTCTGTTTTGTTATATCATTAACAACTACTAGTTATACCATACTAGCAGTCTATGAAAAGTATGAGACTCATCCTAGTAATGTATGTTTTCATTCCAACACTGTTTACCTGGTCAAGATTCTGTATGTAGTTTAGTGGATGGGCTCCTTTCTTCTCTGGGCTGATGAAGGGACCCTCAAGGTGAACACCCAAGATCCCTGCACCTTTGCTGCTACCTTCCGTTCTTTCAATGCGTGGCATAATCTGATGACAAGCAAAGAAAATGAACAAAGCTTTGTTTCAAACATAAATTTGAATCACTTCATCCTTTCCCAAAATATTGTATCTTTTCTTCACTTCTGCACAATTCAATTTTTTGTAATATCATTCCTACAAGAACTTAATTAATAACTTAGTTAATAAACAAAATAAGTAATAATAAAACAAACTTAAGGCAACAGCAACTGTAACAATAATAATAACAATAACAATAACAACAGTAACAATAATAAATATTATTGAAAAGATTAACAATAATGATACTGATACTAATAATGATAATGATAATAATAATAATGTGATGATGATGATGATGATGATGATGATGATGATGATGATGATGATGATGATGATGATGATGATGATAATGATAATGATAATGATAATGATAATGATAATGATAATGATAATGATAAAGATAATGATAAAGATAATGATACTGATACTGATACTGATAATGATGATAATGATAACAATAATAATAAAAATAATGACAATAACAATGATGATAATAATAAATAAAAATAATAAAAATAGCAATGATAATAATCATCATCATTATCATAACAACAATAGCTATTATAACCGTAACAACAATAA